GCATCGCATCCCAGAAAAACTTCTGCAGCGATTGGTTAAGTGGAGTAGAGGAAGATTACTATTTAAGTTTACTATTTTGGAGGCATCTCCTTCCCAGGAAGGGCGGCCACCATATTTGGTCAGTGTCATGATGCATCGAGACACACATGAGCACGATGTTTAGGCAATTTAGTTAGAATAAGCCTGACTGGGGGACACAAGGCCATGGGCTACTCGACCTTGACATCGAATATCGGCGAATTTGTCCTTTGCCGTTGCAAGTATATCTATTGATAGTGTCTGCAGTGCTTTTCGTCCTGATGAGTGAGGTTTCCAGTTGCGCCATGAGTTTCGGGTAAGTTTGTGCTCAGAATCGTGGGCTTGAACGTGATGTATTGACTCTGTTAAAAATCGCTGCAACGCGTTTCCGATACAAATTTTATAAAGTGCACGGTCAAGGCATTCTCATAAGCCAGCAGTTGAACCTATATACCCATGAGACAGGGACTTGTGGGAATATGTTGCAATCAACCACAGCTATGGGCGCAGTGAGTCGAATCAACACACTAACTCATCACCGTAAAATATGTTCTAGTAGAAGAGAGCACTATTATACCTGGCGCCCGGCTTGGCCAACTGCAATCCATTTCAGTTTAATTCGATTCAACTCGTATACTTATACCGACCGACCCCACTATTTAGATCCTACCTATGCAGGTGTTTTACCTCTTGAAGCAAGAATATGGCCCGGAACACCATTAAGCCCAAACATTCTGCAGTACTCACAAAGCAACGCATTCCACGGCGCAGGAAGGCCATCGTCGTAGCTAACACAACTAAATGACAAAAGCAAAAGCGTAGTCATACAACAGTAGAGCTATAAAAGAGTGTCGCAGCCGCCTGGCTGTCTGCGACTTACCATCCTCTCCATTCTTCGTCCCTTACCCGGCTCCCAATATACTTCTTCCTTCTGCATTTCCCCGGCGTCGCTGCCCTGGGTCTATGTCTCCTGTGGTCGCCTCTTAGTCCTTTCTACCCTGGGCATTACAAGGATGCAGTAAAGACGCTGAAGAGCCAACACAAAATGAAGGAACACATTTATCTGAATTATGAACGCAAAAACGTGTTCCATCATGATATCACTTTTCACTCAATTCTTTTGACTGCCTTGCACCTGTCACATATGTACTTCCGGGGATACCAGGTACCGAATGTTCACCATGATCGCTTACCACAATGATACGAGAAAAAGAGTCCATACGGCGGTTGAAGGTCAATAGGACGTTCTTGTGGGAACAGTACAACTCAGACATCTTCCGAATAGAAGCATAGAGGAATTCATCCTTGACATGAAAATAAATTGCAACCCATACGTTCGCATGAGAAAAAGCAACAGAAGAACGTAATCCTTTGCCGGAAAAACTGCTGGATATATCAAACTCCGATACTGTTCGGACCTCTATCCGTCGTGTTTCGAAAGACATAGTTCATGGAATCATGGAACATATCCACCTTTACAATCATTAGATATGCAGCTACCTAGAGATATATATAGGCATATGAATGAGCGGGGTATATCCCGTATGGATCATACTTGATTAGGTCTAGATTCCGCCATCAATACTGGAAGCTACATTTCCGTGCGAACCAAGCATACGATGCCCAGTTCATGTAGGATGGCACAGACGGGCTACGTCGTTGCTAGTGACCACGCTGACTACGGTATCGACGTAGCTATTCATGCACTCTACAGAATACGCGTACCATGCTGGCCTGCAAGCAGCCAATGGGAGAGGAATTGGTCAGTGAGCGGTGCTTAAATGCGGGAACTTTTCATGGCGGTTTCACGCGATTGAATTGATAAGGACGGTACCCGACGATCAGTGGATACTAGATATACTGATCCAAAGATAATGCCAGGAACTATGTTTCTACTTCCCGAACATCCAATTTGTAAACTTAGATGCCTGATAAGTGGGCATGGCTCCAGATGTTGTAATTTAGGGTTGGGACGATCGTTCGGCGGGAGTTGCCAAACGCGGAGGCCCCTCGGAGATACGACCAGGTCGAACCACAATTCATGGAAACATCCCCAGACGTTGAGAACATGCAGAGAACGTGCCTGACATGTTTCTGCAGCTTATGTTACTGCTGCAGTAGCTCGGACCTCAGGGCGAATTAGGACTACTCCTGCTGCAGAACGCCTCTGCAGGTGCCAGCCGACCGATATCGCATTCCTCAGAACAGGAACAGTGTTGAACGTCAACAAATAGACATTTCTAGCCTCTGCTAGCTTTCGCTTCTGCCTTGGCTTAGGATTCACGGACTCATCTGTGCCGTCCCATCGTACGACCAGTCCTCTGCACAATGCAGGACCCATCTCAACTTCGATCGTTACTGGCTGTCCATACCAGGACTTCAACGGCTGCTTGACAGAGAAGCGATCTACTGCAGCACTCGTCATCCAGTCCCACCCTCTCTACTTCAAACATGAGAAGCTACTTCGGCCGACATAATCATGTCTTGTCTGCTCCATAGGGAACTATATAAACCCCGTCCACCACCTATATTCTGGACATCATTCCTGTCATTCCTCCAATTCAGCCGGTCACCATGTTTTCTTCCAAGACCGCTGCCTTCGCGGGCTTCATGGCCTTCAGCGCTCTTTCTGGAGTCGCTGCCACCTACAACTATGCTGTTGCCGATCCCTATGGACTTCCTGAACCCGTTATGATTGACTTTGATGATGACGGAGTTGTTGGTGGCCTCTACCGGCCCAACACCACGAGCCCTCTGTCCCGTATCGGTGTCTACGTGATGCACGCTGAGCAGGATTACCTGAACTTCTCAGCCTGCCACGAGCTCCCACGCCGCGGCTTTACTACCTTCTGCGCAAACAATGATGCCAGCAAGAGCGGCTACATGACCGACATTAACTTCGAAGATATGATGACCAACGTCGGCCAGGGCATGAGCTACTTGCGCAACCTGACTGAGATCGACAAGGTTGTCATCTTTGGCCACAGTGGTGGCGGTGCCATGATGACTGCCTACCAAAATATCGCCGAGAACGGTGTCAAGGCCTGCAATGGTCCCGAACGTATCTACCCTTGCTCAGACGCCATGGCCGACCTGCCTGCCGCCGACGGCCTTATTCTCATTGACGCCAACTACGGACTCTCCACCATGGCTCTCCTGAGTCTTAATCCCGCCATTGTTGACGAGCACTCAGGTGCCAAGATCGATCAGTCACTGAACCTCTACAACACCGCCAACGGCTTCTCCGAGTCCGGCGCCAACTACACCCAGTCCTTCAAGAAAGCCTTCGAGAAGGGTGTCGTTGCTCGCAACAACCGTATCCTGAAGCACGCTGAGTCCCGCCTTGCCGCTATCAACAACGGCAGCGGCATCTTCAGCGACGATGAGCCCTTCTACATCGTCGACTCCATGTACGTCGGCTTCAACAACAAGTTCTTCGCCCAGGACACCCGCTGGATCCACCACACCACCCACCCCTGGCCCCTTCTTCACCGCAACGGATCGATCACCACGCAGATTGTTCCCTCTGTTCGCGTGCCCGCTAACTTCGAGAGTTTCGCCGACAACTTCGAGGGTGGCGCCCTCAAGACCACCATCAAGCGTTACCTCTCCACTCTGGCTATCCGCGTCACCGACGACTTCGAGTACAAGGTGGATGGTTTCGAGGGGATTGTCTGGAACTCTAGTCAGACTGCTCCACTCGGCAATATCGGCGGTGTTACCGTGCCTTTGCTGAACATGGGCAACACCGGCCACTACGAGTACCTGAACGCTGAGAAGCTCCACCTTGCCGCTGGTAGCAAGGACGCTGAGATTGCTTTTGTCGAGGGTGCTCAGCACACTATTGTCACTTGCACTGAGTGTGAGACGTACCCCGGGGAGTATGGTAACACTCTTTACACTGCTTACAACTACATGGCGGAGTGGTTGAGCAAGGAGGGTCGCTTCTTGTAGATATTTCGCCGACATGGTGTACGATAGATTATCTATCCTGTATCTTGTATAGTCACTGTATGTGAATAGCTAGCTTCGGATTAATTCACTCAATTCCGTCACTCCTCAAATAAAATTCTGGCATTCTTTTACATATTTTCTCGTCCCTCGTTTTGTCTCGTTCCCGTGAAGAGCCGTAGACTTATTGTCCGCATCCTCCCCAGGCAACAAACCAAACCCGTCTTTATTCTATCCCAATACATAGTACATCATCAAGCAGCAGGCTAAGTCCAAGGCCATCACCGCCAAACTGAACGCGGTATCTTCGTCCGAGATCTCAGCCCTCAACATCCCTATCCTTGCTTGCCGTCCCCACGTTCCGCCCATCCATACCAAAACCAGTTTAGTCTCCGCAACCGCCGTGCGGGGTGCAAAGGGTCCGGATGTAGCAATGATAATCTCAACGACGAGATTATCGGCATTGTTGGTTTTACTTTTTTCAAAATATGATATTATTTCCTAGTAAACTTAAGTTTGAGTTCGAAAGTTTGTGGAGGTTCGCTAGTTGAGGTAGTCATGCGTGGAACTACTAGCAGCGGATATGCTCTGACGCTCGATTGCATCTATATATCTTCAGACAGTGTCAGTTTACACAAAGAGTGCAATGGGCTTCAAGATGTTATCATAATATGAATTTTTCCATTACCAGTATATGAAATACCGGAACTTAGTGTGGTGGATAAGCTGTTAGGTTGCTAGAACAAAATTCGTAGTAATATTCTAGAGAAAAGAAGAGAGAGGTAAACAAAGGGCAAAACAGTGAAAGAAACAAAGGGAAGACACTGTAGCATCATGGGTGACTTGTGGTAGATGTGAGAATTGCCCATCGACGGTGTTCGCATTTTTGATAGCGAATACTCCGGCGTTGCATTGCCGACGAAAAGATTTAACATATCAGACTCACTGACAGAATCATTGGACACCCGGAGTGAAATCATCATTTCATGAAACAACGTCGTTCTTTCTAAAGACTCACAACTAGTACATCTTCAATGACGGGGATTGACTCGATGCCGAAAGAAAAATGGGGACAGGCAGCAAGACATAAAAAGGACAAACAGCTTCCAAAAAGTACTCCATACGGCCCTCTCCCTGGTCACAGGGTAAGTTCGGTAAATCTCTAGCTTTCGGCGAACGGAGTTTCCTACTCCTGCCGACACATTCTGCATGACTTCATCCGAAATGCAGATAGGTCCTTGATGTTGCTCCAAAAGAACCTTCAGTTTCTCATCACGATATTCTTCACTTTGAACCATAGCGAGGACCAAGCCTTCTGAAACTTGAAATGGTGCCCCGTGATGAGCGAGAAGGAGCCCGAGAACTCCTTTCCAGTTCTTGTGGTGGTCATTTGCTGCCACTGCTGCAATTACATTCTCTGAAATACCGTGTTTGAATCTCGGGTGATGGAGAAGGAGCATTAATACATCATATCCTTGTTGGGGGTTCTTAGCCGCTTTACAAAGAACATTCTCAGTGATGGTAAGCTCTGACCCGGCGCACTTAATCAGAAGAAGGACGAAACGTCTTCCCATCTTGGGGTTAGATGCAGCGGCAGTTAGGAGACTTTCGGTGAACTTTATGCAGTGGCGCCTTCTGCGGATGAGGAGCCCTAGAGGAGAACACCAGATGTAGTCAGTGTCCGCCCATTTATTAGAAGCTTCACCCCATTTGCCGGCGATGGTTGCTGTATTGGAAGCCGCAGCTTCTGCGACTTCCTCATACGCAATGTCATTATCGTCCTGTTTCTCAAGGCGGCTAAGCAGCAGCCTTAGCATTTCCATTCCATGAGCAGGGTTTCTGGCAGCGGCAGAAAGAAGTTTGGTAGTGATCGGTAGTGGGCCTTGCGAACAACGGTAGAGTAACCTTAGCAACCCTAGGGAGAAGTCCCCCTCATTAGAGACGGTGGCCAGTAACGAGTCCAAGTTGACGAAGGGACCCCCTGTGTGTCTTGTTCGCAACATCTGAACAGATTCATATCCATACCTCGGGTTTGCTGCAGCAGCAACTACCATATCTGGCGTCACAGTTATAGCCTGACCATTATCGTCTCCGGTATAGATGAAAACCTTGAAAATGTTCGTTCGCCAATGGGTGTTACGGGCCGCCTTCGTCAGCAGTTCCTCAGAAAGGGCAATTTCCGAACCATATCGCTCAAGAACCATGCGAAGTGTGACATCGTTACATTCCTGGGCAAGCTCCAATACCAGGTCCTGGGGATTGAGTAGATTGACTTTGGACAGATAAATCTTAAATTGGGTGTAGGAAAGTGACCTGGATAGGATTGCGGTGACCTGAACGGAATGTGGGTTCACATAGAGTGTTGGGTCAAGGAAAAGCTCTGGGACCCTACAATGTCCTGTCGCACGGTACTTATGGGACACTCTTCCTAATGCTGCTTGAACGATATTGCTAGTCAGACTGAACTGAGAGTGCCTTTCGCGAAATATCAGATCAAGAAGTTTGTCTCCTTGGGCTTGGTTGCGAGCAGCTTCAATCAACACATCCTCCGTGATTGGTGTTTCATATTTCTTCAACAGGAGCTCCATAATCTCGACTGCAAACACGGGATTCGCCGATGCTGCCACAAATACACGGACTGCTACCTGGCCTTTCCACAGCGACAGAAATTTTGAGAAAGCATATTTGGAGCCCTTGTTCCCCGCCGCGGCAACAAGCATAGGCTCAGACACTAGGATTTGGTCACCCAGGTGATCAAAGACTAGTGCTATGAGACGGCCCCCTTCAATTGGATTTGCCGCTGCAGCGAGAACGATTGTATCAATCTCGGTAATCATGCCATTATTACAACAGAGTAACAACTCGAGAATGTCTGTAGGGTTGTAAGGTGAGCTGGCAGCAGCCCTCAATGCGTTGCTGGATATAACTGCGGGACAACCAAAGCGAACAAACAGATATCTCAAGATAGCCACGTTCTGACCGCTATTATTAATTACTACGGTCATGATGAGTGTCTCCATCAAGTCCGATCGTGACTTGGACCCCATAAATGTGTGTTTCATGTCCTCGACTCCAGGGCTCGGCGACGAAACAAACAATGTTGAAGGGATGACGATGGCTTCACTCTTGGTAGCCATAAGCTCTATTGTAGACAGGCTGTATGACTTAATGATTGCGAGAAAGCCTTCAGCTGTCACTATGGCTCTGCCAGCCTTCTGTTCTAGAAGCGATTTGATGATGTCCTTGGGGCCATCGTGACTTTCTAACTCATCTTCGACCATCTCCGCCGTGATGAATATATCTGTCAGCACCGGATCAGCCGTTTCGAGGGTCAATTTCCTGATGTTACTCGCATCGCCCCTATGAATAGCTTCATGGGCCACAGGCCCAAGAAGCCAACGACCATCGATAACTTGCAGAAGGCCCCTTTTCGTTAGACTCTCTTGAAACTCACGAAACTCTCTTCTAACGGGACATTGTTGAATCAAGCCCGGATTAAGCTCGCCGACTTGTTTGTAAATGTCCGTCATAAAGGCCAACAAAGAAGATCCGAATAGTGAGAACGCAGTTTCAAGGAAATCAAGGCTTGGGAATTTCGGGTTAGCAACTCGACACAAGAGATCCTTAACATGTGCCTCAGTTACGGGATGGCCAAACAACGGGGGCTCGGTAGGGATCGAAAGGGCAGCCAAAACAATGACCTCTTCTGTAATTGGCAATGAACCAGGAACTTTCAGCAAAGTGTCCATGAGGGGGCCACCGCAATCTTCGTTTTTCGCCGTTTCAACAAATACTTCTTCGCTGACGTAGCTTCGGAAATTTGATGTGTCCACACAGTTTTTCAAGCATTCGAACACTTCCTCTCCGTGACGCTTACTCTCTGATATCGTGATCAAAAAATCCTCAGAGAGGAGGGCCTTGGCAGGTAGTCGCTGGAGGAGTGAGTTGAGCGTTTCCGCATCGCAATGTTGCGTTTCAGTCAACACCATGACAATCTCGGCGGTAATGATATGCGGTGAAAAGGAAGCAACATAGTTGAGGGCATTCAATGTACTTTGTGGGTTTCCCACCACGGCAAGGAGCATGTCTTCTGTGACCTTGATATCATTGTCCCCATGGTTGAAGAGGTACGCAATTGTGGTTTCGTCTGCGACGCTGACCAGTGCTACAAAATTTTCTTGAGACATCCTCAATCGGTCGCCTAAGAGCTGGGCGATTGATCGTGCTTCCTCCTGGTCACCTGATTTCAAGATACTCAGGGCACCCCCTGTTGTTATGGCTAATGGCGGGCGGACTCGTTCTAGAAATTCAAACATCCTGCCAGCTTTCCTCGCAGACAAACTCCAGCCTGACATCATAATGGGACACATCCCATCTTCGGTGACAGGTATTGCAAGCTGGAAGGTATCTGGGAGGACAGTGGGGGCATTGAAATCATGGATTTCTACATGTAAAAGTTCCACAATCACCTCCTCATCGATGAGTTCTTGTCCAGGAAGCTGCTTGCAGTACATAGCCAATATGGCATACCGCTGGCTCAGACGCTCAGAGGCCCTTGGCTTCCACACATCTAGACCGAAAAAGCATCGTCTAATGAACTCGACGATCGCTTTTTCTGTGATATGTACGTTATTCTTCGGGTCATTGAACATTTCCTGGATCTTTTCCATGATGTCATGGGGCCACAATTGGTCAGCGGCAGAATCGGGTATTTCCTGTATCATGTCTGCCGTTACAATAAGAGGCAAGTTGAGGCTCAGTAGATGTTGCAACAAAGTGAAAATACGGGGGATAGATCCACCCATCCCGCGGATCGCTTCTGTTATGCACGCCTCACCGATCTCAATCTTTTTAGATGTACAGAGAAATACATCCGCCATCATGGTGGGATCCAGGGTTTTCATGATTTCAGCAACGGCAGACTGTCCGAAGATAGTCCTCTCACTGGCTATTAACCGTGACATTATAGCTTTCCGATGTTCCGTATTCGCCAAAGCAGCAGATACTGTGTGTCCTGTAATCTCGAGTTTCTCTGTTCCCTGTGAAAGCAAAAAGTCAAGAACTCTTGGGCCATCTCTTCGGTTGGCAGCGCCTGCTTGGATAGTGCAATCATCGACCTCTGACGGGAGAATCTTGTGTGAGAACAGTTCGCGTATGAATATAACATCAAAACTTCTAATTATTGTTCTCAGGCCAGTTCCAGTGATCCAGACTTTAGTGGCGCATGTGTGAAGAAAGGTTTGGACAAAGCTCGGCCCAGATTGCTCGTCCCTGCCGAGGGCATCGATTATCGCTCCTGTGAGTGGTATAAGTCTCCAATGAGGGTTAAAAGAGCACAATGAAGATCGCTGAGTCGCTCGACCATCTTGCAGCAGATCATCATCATTAATATTGAGGATTGACTCAATCGCCCTACAACCAAAATTGCGGTTCTCAGCTGCCGCCCAGCAAAGCAAGAATCTACTCAGACAAAGTGGGGCGCCAGATGCCTGCTGAAAAACACGATGTATGGTCTCCGGGTCTGATATGCGTGCCAGATTGTGAATGAACTCTGTATCCATGGGTACGTTCGGTAAAACATCGCCAATTAGCAATCCCAAGCTCTTCCTTCCGTGCATTGTATTTTTCATAGCTGCTGTCACTGTTTCTTGGGTAAACATGCTGCTTCTCTGAATAGCCGTCATCATGACAGATTCATCACAATACTCAGCAATCGCTTCTATCAGGGAATGGTCAATCACAGCCTGTTGATGGCACTGTAGCAACAGTTGTACTAAGGATTGGGTGTACTGAGAATTCGACTGGTGGGATACCAGAAGACGAATCAATTCCCTTCTCCATGTACGAGGTGGTAGACGTCGGATATACTTCTCAATGATATGTGACTTGCATTCGCGTAGAACGATTTCCAGTACTCTCTCATTCACAGACATGTCTCCAGAAGTGCTCTCTATTATGATGGCCAACACTTGTCCAGCGTCGACGTTCCGACATGAGGCGTCCTGGAGATGGCAATCGACTTCGATCGCATGATGGTTTAACATCAAGGACACTGTATCCGGATCCTGGTGCTCCACAATAGAATTAAAACCCTCGTTCGTGAGTTGTACATTGCTGTGGTGAAGAAGAAGCTGGGTATTGGATCGCCCATAGTCATGAATTATCGTCTCAGCAGCTGCGCCCGAAACTTGAACTTGGTTGTCTGGCAGACTCAATATACATTTCAACAAATCTTCCTTCTCGTCGAGGTATTCCAGCTCATACATCATGTCCTCATCGACGTTAACCATAACATTTGGTTGGTCCAGGCAGAACTTCATGACGTCCGGCGTATCACGTGTGCCGACTAGAGAAAATGGCCCTGTCTTGGCATTCAAAAGAATTGGTAAGATCTCTAAGGCATTGTACATCTCAGCGGCCTTCCGAAGGGCTTCTCTGTTGACCACGTCATGATCTGCTGGCCTGTGCGACAGAATGATTTCTAACGTCTCTTGGTCTGATCCTACCGCCTCTGTCACCAGGTCTTCGGTTACCTGTATTTGTTCCGGGCAAGAAATAAAGAGGAATGTGAATATAGATGCGCCATGTTTGCTGTTACTTGCCGCTGCCTGCAGTGAATCATGTGATAGATGTAGACCCGGCCACTCGATCATGATCTGCTCCAACACTGACACGCTCCGTCTTGCAAGAATACTCCGAAAAGCGTCTTTGAAAAATACCACGCGTTGGCGTGGCTGTGAAAGAGTCCAGCACAAGACCCCTTCGTGCCCCGCTCCGCCAGAATTGTATGGAATTGCTGAGCCTCCGACGATGGTGAGGTATGGCCATTCTTTCCATAACTGTTCAAGACATGCAACACCGCTGTCTATGTTTCCGAATGCGCTCGCAAGTATATCATCCGTAACTGGAATTGCGTTCTGGGATTTTGCCTGGAGTATTCGAATGATATGCGGGCCGTCTGTAGGATGAGCCGCCGCTGCAGCGACAACCGATTCTGGGATGGTTTCCTCGGTCCAATGCTCAAATAACATATCCAGAAGTGCGCTGGCACATTTGGCATTTCTTGCAGCTGCCCCCAAGACCTCTTCAGTGATTAAAACATTATTTTGGAGGTATGTGAATATCATCTTCATGGTCCGTATGCCCTGAGATTCATTTCGAGCAGCCTCAACAAGTACATTGGTAGCGATATGGGGCCTCTTCCTTGACATCTGGTCTCGATGTAACAACAATGTTTTCAAGATTTCGGACCCTTCTCGAGTGTTTTTCACTGCTGCAATCTCAAGTTCCTCGGTTACAACAATCTGACTTCCCATTTGCTGGAGCAGGCTCGTGATGAAGTTTTCACGGTTGGAGTTATGCTCAACAAGGGCCGTGAGAACGCTACTTGTGAGAGGTCTTGTCGGATCAGTCCGGGATACTAATTCGGTAAACACAGCTATGTTTCCAAAAATGGCAGCCCATAGAAGCGGAGTGCCCCCGTGGGATGTGAAAGAGTCTGTGTCGATGTAGAAGCCACCTTCGGTTGCCAAATTCTTACCGAGCGCAAAATCCACCAAGCTCGGTATTCCCCATTGTGCTGCAATATGCAATATCCCCATGTTGTATGCAGCATGACAAGGATCCAAACCGTAATACCGCAGCCATAAATCTCGGGATGGAGATTCGAGCGTAAGGAAATAGGTTTCTGTGACTTTGGCGGGATCAAAGACCATCCCACTCAGGTGAGCGTGCTCCATCCAGAATTGAGAACAGTATGGTATGAAGTCGCCCCATGTAGAAATCTCCTCTCTGAGTCTCATATGTGCTGCCTTCTTCTTCATCACGTCATATTCATCGTTCTTCTTCTTGAGCTCGTGGAGATACTCATCGAGCAACTTTTCAAAACGACCAGCTCTATTTCGGAAGTGCCTTGCAGTGTGATTGATGCACGCATATGCTAGAAGAGCGTGTGACTCTTCCTTGGATGGAATATATCTCATGTCAGCTCCAAATAGAAAGTCCTGGACTGACTTGTGAAGGAGGTTTACAAAGCCCTCAATCTCTACTACCATCAGACGACAATCTTTGATGTCTGCTCTGATGAAGGCGATCTGTGCCTCTTTATCCTCGCCAGTATATAGAGAGCAGGCAGTGCACAGTTGGGATAAGGTCAATGCCTGTCGTGCCACGGCAACAACAGCAAGAATGGCATAAACCCTCTCCCGCTTTTGTTCATTCTCAATCGCCTTCTCCATCAGTTTCGTATAAATTGCGTTCAGACCAGGGGCGAGATTATTGAGAAAGGCCAGAGTGTCTTGTAGGTCGACATTCTTCAACTCATCGCATGTCAACCCAATCCATAGGAAAGTTCCATCAGCCTTTGCTTCTAGTATTTCCTGGATTTGATCCTTCATCTTGACATGATACCCTTTCCGCGTGCTGAGATCGCCAACCTTCTGTCGAATGAATAACTGGATATCCGTCTTCCTTTCCTCAACGAAGGTAGTAATATCTCTCGAAGGAAAGAAACCTAGGCATGAGGCAATCTCGTAGTAAGGCCGACTAGTAATCAGTATTCGAATTTTCGATGTGAACCGCTTCGAAGGGTGATCAAAGAAACTGAGTTTTAATTGCTCGAGAATTCTCGTCTGCGACCCCGAGTCACATTCATCCAACGCGTCAACGATACAGTATGAGATCTTACAACGTGGGTCTGTAGCCATTTCGGTTAATATAGTCCAGAGTCCCTCGAAAGATTGAAGGAGAGTGTCGTTGCGTTCGCGAAACCTCCCAATCAGCCAGTCCTGCAGTATTGGATTTTGGCGAATTAGCTGCCATCAGATCCCTCTGAGAATGGCTGTAGCGGTGTTCTGCGTGTCGTGGTTTGCCTCGCAAAAGAAGAATGCAAATGAGCCATCTTTGCGGTCCGTGTTGAACTGTTGCTCTAGGCCCTCTGTGAGACACATTGCCATCGTTGACTTCCCACTTCCGGGGAGCCCATTCAGCCAAAGAATACTATTTTTGGGGTTATGCGTGTTCGTATTCGCATCCAACCAGTTTTTTAGCTCATCTGTTTGGAATATCCATTGGCAGGTGTCTTTAGAGGGCCCACCTCTACGTGCCATTAGGCTCCGTCTGTCCTCGTTAGGGTCTGTAACAAATAGTTTCCGTAGGATTTCTTCCAGGGCGGGAGATACCCCCACTTCATCATCAAAATTAGAGATAGGCATATATGAAAGGGTCATGGGATAGTCCTACCTTGATCTTCTGGTATCTTTTTAATGGGCCGGGGCAAATATTTCAAGAGTGTTTTGACATATGCCGCCGCCGAAGCTGCCGCATAAGGCTGCCAATCCTTGTTTTTGTGCGAGTCTGAATAATCACATATTCCGCGGACGACCAGACATTCGAAGTCGTCCATCAATCCAGCAGCTTCCATCTCAAAGCATAGAATACCTCGAGAATTTGCTAGTTCATCCCGGGTTACTGCGTCCTTCATCACTTGATTTCCTGAGGCGATCAGCCCATAATGCACGCGAGGGCAATCCGAAAGTCTCTTTTTCCGTGGAATAACCTGTGCCTGATCACAACTGGCACATGGTGCCTCTGGGTCGGGCTGAGTGTAGCTTGACGCAAAAAGACGGTCTTTATCGTGTGCCGGACACTCAATACGTTTGCTATATGTCAGGATGGGGGCCAGGGATCCGGCTAAGTGAGTGTTGAAGTTGTGATCTGTTTGCAAGCAAGATATCGCTCTGCGGAGCGGCTGAGGCGGTTTGTTAAGCGTCCCAATTTGCTGGAACTGACCCGAGGGCAATCTCTTTCCCCAGTCATACGGTATAATCCCTGAGTCGTTTCCCACAGGAGTGCTGACTACTACATCACCTAGGCGTATGTCGTTTGATTCACTGGGGGCACCCCCTCCAACCCCAACCAGGAACCTGTACCGCAATGACTTGAAGCTCGCCTTCATGTGTTGGGCTGTGATTGTTGCTGGCGTTGTTCCGTACTCAGCGAACGGTGGACATGCGATTACAATGTTAAAGCCATTGATCTCTCCATAGACGTATACATTCTGATCATTCTCAGATAGTTTCAGCTGGCAGTCGTATTCCTGGTCCAGGGCTCGTCGGGCAGCATCCAGTCCACATGGCAGGGCGCATATCCAGCCGACGATGTAGTCGTCACTGCTCGTCCAACGACGAGCAGTCATGTTGGTCTGCTAACGTTGCCAATCCAACACTTCCTTTTGTCTGTAAGCGAATATCAGAAGGTAGAGTTTGACAACGATATTGCAAAGGCAGAGAAAGGTGGAGATGGGGAGAACAGGCCGAACAGCAGGGCGACGGCGAACGGTTTGGTGGGGTAAGCCAGTTCATCATCATTTTAGCGCCAACAGGCTGAGCCAATGCATGATACTACGACCAGGGTACCGTCTGAGAGCGGCCTTCCTCTTGCATATTTGCTTTTTTGTACCTGTGAGGATTTATTTTCAACCCTCGACCTCCTCTTTCCGGTGGTCGGCTGAGAAGCCATGGGCGCCCTTGTGTTCTCGCACGTTTGTCGTACATTTTTTGCCAGAGTTTAGATGTGACTATAACTAGACCCAAGTATTGTGGACTTAACATCCTTCTATACTGTCGCAGACTGTGTCCACCGCAGAGGGAAATTTTCACCCATACCTTTCTCGGAAACAAATGTTAGCGATTTTGTGAAATAACGCTCCCAGTGTTATCAATACATAGTCCATGCGGCTTGGCATAGGCGAACAGACCTATTAACGAGTTGTACTCTTAACGCCATAAGCAGCACATCCCGTTGAGACTGAAGTATGGTACCTTGACTGCCATCTTTCACTCCTGTGGAGTATCAGGCGATTTAAGCAGGGGCTGTGTAGATCACTCGCAGCGACAATGGAGTATATATATATGGAAAATCTAGAATGACTGGCTCAGAACTTTATCTGAGGGACAGTCGTCTTTTCTTCCATTTTCCTTACTAACAACTAGCTTCTCTTGTCTGTCTATCACTTTACCAGTTCTCCTGTCTCTCACTCCCTCCCTCTCCGTTGATATGATCGCATTTGATAGTAGTCAATGCTTAGATCAGTAAAAGTTTCGAAGGCTCTCCTTGCCTAGGCACACATTAAAACACGATGTAAGATCACCGCCACTAACCCATTCATTTACGGTTCAATTTCGAAAAAGCATTTTACGTTGTGCGCTAGTATTGACATATTCACTGATGTGAGATAGACTTGATACAAAAGTCGTTCTCGTGAACAACACCGCACCCAACATCTTGAAAGGATCAATCTCGACAATCATATCTATTCTTTGACGGGCATTCTCAACCCGGAATGACGTCCCGTGGCTTTCATAGCTTTCTGTGCAGGAGATAGGTATTTTCTACTAATTTAGTACAGTAGACCTTTTTCTCTGTTTCACCTCCGGTTGATGGCATACCCTAATTCGATTCATTCTTTCCTGATGGATATATGCATCCAATTGTACTAAAGATAAGCCCAAACCACCATTACTTCTGCTCAGTGAAGCTGTGCCCAAATAGAACATACGAAATTTCATTATTATTACTACCTTGCTACTTTTCTCTATACACGGATTACTCCCTAACCCCAAAGAAACCTAATCAACCCTAACCTCTACCTCCACGACCCTCTGAATCTGCAACGGTCCCTCACCATCCTTTCCTTCTCCACTTCCTCTCCCCCTGCCACTTCCCAGCGAACTCCTCTCTCCGCCACTACTATCCCCATCACCGTGTCCAATTGTTGTAGTCACCGCAACCGAATTATCCCACGGCCTGTTTCTTCCAGCACTTGCCTCCCCCAACTCCAGGATCTCAGCCTGATCATCCGTCTCAGACGGTAGCATGCGACTCTGGTTGCGCTGCGTTCGACGCACCCCACTCAGCGCGTACGAGCGGCCGGCATCCATGGTCTGGCTTTGCGAGGCGTGTTGGCGGCGTTGGCGGCGGGTGTTATAGCTTGACGTGAGGGTCGAGGCGAAGGCGTGGAAGTAGGGGCCATAGGTGGGGACGCATGCGATTATTACCTGGTTTTTGGGAGGTTTTGTTAGTGGTGCGGCATGGGGATGTGGTGTTAACGGAAATCTTGCTTACTCCCAGGCTTATTTCCACTTGCGACCATAAGACGATCGGTTGACTGTCAGTGTAGGTTTTGAGATGCTTGATGGTGAAGATGCGGATAATTTGGATGATGGTTATGAAGAATCCGAGTGCGAATAGGGCCATTAGAGCGATCTTTTATTGTTTGATTGACTTGTTAGTGTACGTTGAATGGGGAGGGAAGGGAGGGCGAGGACCGGATGAAACCTTTTGCGCTTGTCGGAGTTGTAAGGACCATAGGACTGGGAGGGGGAGGGCAATAATGACTATGTCGAAGCCCAGGCTTGTTCCTGTTGTTTCGGTCATGAATTACTTTCTTATTGGGGTAGAGGAGGGGATGGATGTACCAGCCAATGCTGTTATTTTGTCAGTATGAAATATGACGATAGTCGTGGGCGCATACCATAATATGAAGCAACCGTGTCAATACATGTTCCTGGAAGACTCGCGTCCCATTGCTTCGCGACCTAATCTTTTGTTAGATAGATCCCGCAGTGAACCGGAATATACTGACCGGATTGCACGCCAGTGTTAAGAGAAAAGTGAAAATAACCTGGTTGCACACCACTGCTATCACCACGCCAATGATACTCCATCGATAGGTTGCCACGAAACCTCCGATCCGCAGATAAGACGTCAGGAGCGAAACCTTGAAGCAGAGGATAGCGAGGATATACGTGGGGCCGCCGGCGTATTGGATCTGAATTGTCACCAGTGTCAGAAATCTACGGCACAGAGCGGAAACAGAGGTTTGCCGACCTTACTGAACATCACCACGTTCGCATCTGGGAACGAAGCTGCATCCAGTCCTAAGCCATACCGTGTTTCTAAAATGTCAGTTGCACTGGTCATTCGGGGTGTCCAAGGGCAGCGTACGGGCCACTGCGATCCCCGCGTAAGCTAATCCCAACACTGCACTGCATGCCGCCGAGTAGTCGTCTAGCCAAAGGGCACGTTTCGAATGCAAGCGGATATAAAACCGTAGCAAAAGGGCGATCACCGCACTGATACTGAATGTCAAGCAGATCGCGATCACTCGCGCCACATGGCTGTGGGCATCAGGGTGGGCAAGATTATGGACCCAACCCATGGCATTCCGCAGTTGATCGTAGAAACTGGGAAGACATGAAAACAGAAATTATTCTGCCCAACACACACGGTGCAGGGTGAGATCCCCCAACCCTAGATACCAAGCATCTTCAGGTGAGATTTTAATTAATCACACTTCTGCAGGCATGATCCCTGTCCGCCATATGGAAAAGCCGAGGAAATTGCGAGAACTTGGCGATTACGCGATGGATCGAATCCTGGCAAGCGAAATGAAGCTAAAGGTAAGACATCGCTGGACTGGAAACCGTGCCCGAAACCGTCGCCGCCACACAGACACTAATGACCCGCTGTGGAGATGCCCTAAGCATCCGCCAGGAACGGGGGAATCGCGCCGCGTAGACCCCAAGCGGGGCAAACCCTGTCCGGTCAATAAGCGGAGAGACTAAAAGCCTGGGCCAATATCGATCAGCTCGCATGATAGGACGACGAAGAGGGTGGAGGAGCCTGTATATTTCGAGGACCTTGGCCGAGACCGTTGGAAACTAGATCCAAGCGGCGCGGTGGTTTGAGCAAATAAAATGCCATGCAGCTGACCATGTGGGCGAACAGGAAGAATAGCGTCGAAGTTGCCATGAAACTTCTCTGCCTAAACGTGTGTAGAATGCACGAAATGTGTTTTCCGAACCCAACAGGGATCATGCAATCTAATTAATATCTTCACTGGCAACGGAAATGACTTGGCCCACTTCACCTACTGTAAGTGCAATTCTAGGAGCCGACAGATGCCGGTAGTGGCATAGGAGTTTCAGCATTATCGACAGGGATATAAATCGGTCATCCCCGGTCACTCCGGAGGGATTCCCGGGCAGAGCTTGTTATCCCTCAATCATGTTGGCCACATCCCTCTGGACTAGCTTGCTGGCCCTCACGGCCTCAGCCTCGGCTTCGGCCATTAGCAGCAACTCTTCCAGCTGCCGCTGCTTCCCTGGAGATGCCTGCTGGCCCTCCCAGAGCGAATGGGCGCAATTCAACAAAACTGTTGACGGTCGCCTCATCAAGACCATCCCCTTGGGCAAGCCATGCCACGCTCCCTACTACAACGCCTCAGTCTGTTCCTCACTGAAGGAACAATGGACGGAGCCTGAGCTTCAGTAAGGTGCACTGCCCAATGTCACATCCCCTTTGCTAATATCTTCGCCCACTAGCTACACCTCCAGCAGCTCTGTCATGGCCCCATGGTTCGCCAATGGCAGCTGTGACCCCTTCCACTCGATTGACAAGCCCTGCACAATGGGCAATTACATCGACTACGCCGTAAACGTCTCCACTCCTGCGCATATCTCGGCGACCCTCCGCTTTGCCGACACCCACAATATCCGGCTGGTGATTCGCAACACCGCCCACGACTACAATGGCAAGTCCACTGGTGCAGGTGGTCTGGGTGTGTGGACGCATAACCTGAAGTCCAGGACGCTGATCAGTAACTACACGGACTCGCACTACACTGGCGCTGCAGTGCGGCTGGGCGCAGGTGTGCAGGGCTTTGAGGCATACGAGTTCGCTGATGCCCACGGCTACCAGATCGTAGGCGGAGAGTGCTCCTCAGTGGGTATTGCTGGTGGATACTCCCAGGGTGGTGGACACTCTGCGCTCTCGTCGCGCTACGGACTGGCAGCTGACCAGGTCCTCGCCTGGGAGGTTGTTACCGGTACTGGCGAGTTTGTGACTGCTACCCGTGATAATGAGTACAAGGATCTTTACTGGGCGCTCAGTGGTGGTGGCGGTGGTACTTATGGTGTTGTTGTGGCTATGACCTCCAAGCTTCACACTTCTACCCCTACTTCCGGTCTGAGCCTGACCTTCACCAACTCCAACATCACTCAGGATACCTTCTTCGAGGCTGTCACTCTGTACCACACTCTTCTGCCTAGCATTGTTGACGCTGGCGTCATGAGTGTTTGGTACTTCACCAATACCTCCTTCTACATCTCTCCCCTCACCGGACCGGGTGTCCCGGTTGCCACCCTCCGCTCCTTGGTTGCGCCCTTCGAAGCCGGTCTGGCCAAGCTGGGCATCAATTACACTCTCGAGGCCAAGATGTTCGACACCTACCTCGAGGAGTTCAACACCATGGAGGCCGAGATCGCCGTCGGCAAGGCCCAGTATGGCGGTTGGTTGATCCCTCGCGAGGTTGTGGTGCAGAACACCACGGCCCTGACGGACGCGTACCGCCAGATTGTGTCTGACGGAGCCACCTTTATCGGAGTCGGCTTGAATGTCAACCGCTCTATTGCCGGCGACGTTGACAACGCTGTCCTACCTGCCTGGCGTGAGGCCCTCATTGATACTACTCTGACGACTCCCTGGGAGTGGGATGCCCGCGCCGAGATGATCGTCGAGCAGAACAAGATGACATACGATTACATTCCCTTGCTCGAAGCCCTTGCTCCTAACTCTGGAGCGTACATGAACGAAGGCAACTTCCAGCAGCCCAACTGGAAGAAGGCCTTCTACGGCGCCAACTATGATCGTTTGCTGCAGGTCAAGAACAAGTATGATCCCAACGGACTGTTTTATGCTCTTAAGGCGGTTGGCTCGGATGCTTGGACCCAGTTGGAAGATGGTCGGTTGTGCCGCGCCTAGGAATTTTTTCATTTGACTGTATGATAGATTGTATATAAAGATGTGTTGATGGTGTTTTGAAGGCATGTTGTATGTACATAGTTAGAGTCGAAAAGTGATTTGTATCTCTTAATACTTGCCTCCACATTATAAAATAAGGATCTTAGTTCTGAACTCCGAGCATAGACAATATATCGGATGCAACAGGGTCCATACCTACCCCTGCGATATCTACGTGGATGATGTGAGATCATAGTTAGCCAGGATCTGCCTTACCGCGCCATGATCTCCCTTGTCTCAACGTTATCTCCAACAAGCTTTGGGACATACTAGTGCTGATGTTATCCCTGCAATGAATACTAAGAGTCCGAAAGGATATTGCGTGCTGATGTCTCCACTTTACATGGCGCCTCAAGTGGGTTTTACCCATTATGGCTTGAATTATGATGGGATGTCAGAGGATTAGCGCTAGAAAACACTGACTAGCTATCAGCATCGTGTTTACAGGATACGAACACCTCCTTTCCCCTCCACGTTACATCTCATCTTGTATATGGATGGGTTACTGCATAAGCAGATCATCATTATTGTCATGACAGGATACGTGATTATGACGTTCGGCATCGCAGGATGACACTGGGCAGCAATGCTACAGGATAAATACCAAAGGGTATAAAAGCAATTTAACTGGAGCACTCAACAGACGAATGATTCATTTTCATAGTTACCAAGACTGGACCATATTCCAAGACACCAATCAATCTGCTGCTAAACGCCCACGGTCTCAAATACAGCATTTCCCCTTAAGTCCTGCAAATATGCTTCGCACATCTTTCCCCACAACCAACAAACGACCTACTCATCTACCACTGATAGCAATACTGGTCCCAATCAGGATACCACCCCGTTCCATAATAAACCCAAGCATTCGAATCCAATACCGCCACATGCCCACCCCAATACTGGCTCTCGTTCAACTGAAACACCGCCCACCAGCCTGTATTCCTCTGCACACTGCGACTACTCACCTGAGACTTGGACCGAAACCAGCTCCACATGTCGCGGGCACGGATCGGCCGACGAGCAGTAGTCTGACACCGCGCGTTGATGTGCTGGTTTGGTTGACTCAGTTCGGTGTAGCCGGCGCGGATAAATGCGTCGGAGAGGTAGTGTGCGCAGTTGTTGGATTGCACGTCGCCGCCGGCGCAGCTGTTATTCCAATATGCGGCGATGGAGGAGATCGGTGGGGTGGTGGCTAGGGCATGGGGTGCGAATTCGAGGATGGTGGGGATGGATTGGGCGGGAGTGGGCATGTCAGGGAGGGTCATGGGGGGTGGTGGGGGAGAGGTCGTCTCCATGACTTTGCTGAGGGGTTGGGCGAAGTCGGTCATAGTGCGAAGATGATATATCTGGATAATGTGTGAGTTAGGAGTAGAAGTTATTTAGGGAGTAATCAGCTGTTTCCGCTATGGTGCTATGGTGATCAAGTTCAAGTTACTTGTTGGACATTGGTTGGGCTGATGCCCGCTGTTATATATTCGTAGCAGGATGCGCGAAAACCCGAGTGCGGGATTCTCACAAGCCTTTCTTCCACCTCATTACCGCACCATACCACAGGCTCCAGTTCATAATATAGGATGAGATAGAATACGAAGTATAACATGGTGCAAGCTACATTATTGGAGTGCTATACGAAGTCAAGCAAAGTTCAAGTTGTTGCTATCGATACGATAACCTTGATCACGAACGCCGGAACCGATCAACATTATTGGAACATATTTCTGTTATAAGGTTAACCTTTTAAGCATATTTGGGGTAATACGAAGCTAGCAGCCCAGATGTGGTCCAGATGGCATGTACCAGGGTACCATAGAGCTTAATTTATGTGGTGCTGGTGGCCTAATCTACATCGCACACCTGGACACCTCTCTGCCAAGACTTGAACCTTATGCTGATACGAGGCGAGTGCCATCAACTTGGGTCACAGTAAGTGGCTATGGCTGGAACACGACGACCTGTGAAGTGGCTGCTACCAAATATTAATCCATCAATCTGGCCATACGATGCGTCATATCATTATTACATTGTAGATCTCATCGCAGCTGTCGTTAGGCTACACGGTTATGTAGCTGTCAAACAGAGTCTGCGCGTGATCTGGGACGCCTATAAATTTACCTTATCAATAATAGGAGGATAATACAAATATCTACTCTAACTCCCTTACAATGTGATCAAACTGTGAATGGGGACATAAGCCAGGAAGTGGCAGCCTAACAACCGACATGGCTTTCACCTCAGCAGACATTGTTTCTTTGTTCAAGACTTCTGCACCGAATGTGTCCCTCGTTGAACTTCTCCAGCAGCCAGTTAGTGCCTTGCTTGGTATTGACAATGCTGCCACATCCTCCCTTAAAGTCATAAAAGTTAATACTGTATTTGACTTGGCAACGTCTATTGTCTTTGACAGTGCTGTAAAAATCTTTACTGCCGCAACAGACCCAAACAGCATCTTTTCTCGACATGGCAAGCCGCCAGCTGATCTGATACGCACGTCTCGGACTACAGGAAAGTCCCTGCAGGAACTCTCCTCAGAGCCAATTTCTATTCTCTCTGCAGTTCCAGAATCAAGTGCTGATACTATATCTGAGGCACTCGACGTTGGGACTGTCCGGGATCTGGCTCTCTATCCACCTTATCTAGCCGCCCTCAGAATTCTGAAATATTTGTACTTTCCAGGGACAGATGAAGGATTCGACCCCGAAAGACCAGCAGACCTCATTCCTAAGTCTGGCGAATACCCAATTGAGAAGGTTCAGTATTCGACCCTGCACATCGGCGAGATCAAGAAAAATCCCAGCGACAAATTCATAGACGTGTCGGGGCCTGAGTTTAAACCGCCGGGCTTGGACGATGTCATCGACAATGAGCGCACCGGATTCAAGGTCATAGCCACAGGTGCTCTTCTGACGTTTAGTCAGTCATGGTTTGTCCAAGGAACCACACTGGGGCACCTGCTGCACTCGGTGACCCTTGCTCCGGGTGAAAGCACACGAGTGGCCCTCATTGATTGGAGTCGCAGGGAACGAGGGACAAATACCGAGGCTGTATTAGAGAAAGACGATCTTGTCAATAACGTGTGAGTACCTTGCCACAACCACATAGTCGAAAACTGACGTGATGTTTGAAGTAATCATGCTCGCGCTGTGGCCGAAGTAACGAGGGGAGTGGCTGAAGAAGCTCAGGGCGGGTTCTCCAAAACTAATTCAGACGCCGCCACGATCTCTCTTGGCCTTTCTGGGTCAGAAGATAGGAATGGAGGGCTTATGGGCGCTATCTATGGTGGGATAAGCTCCACAACAGCTGGTTCCCTGGGCATTTCGGGATCAGCAGCATACTCGGACTCGTATTCTACAACATGGGGAAACAGAAACGTCTCTGCACAGACCCTGCAGAAGATTAATGAACGAACCCAGCAGCACGCTCACTCTAGCCGGAATAGACGTGCCTCTGTTGTCAGGGAAGTATCGCAGTCTGAGCACGAGAATGTCAGCACACGGGGTATGTCCCGCAATCCTACAAATAAATTTGAGCGACTAACAGGATTACTGCAGTAATCGCCAACTACAACCATGCGCATGCACTATCAATAAACTATTATGAAATAGTCCAAGTATTTCGCGTCGAGGTCCGGCTGGTCAAGGCCGAACAAGTCATATTTGTTCCACTGGCAATGCCTGACTTCACCAACGTTAATCTGATCCGGCGCTTTCAGATCCCACTCGCCAGAGCCGCTCTTACGCCGCAGATTCAACAAAGTCTGATTAACATGGACCGAATTGAACTTGAGCCTGAGAAAAAGACCTCATTTACTGTCTTTGCACGACCTCTCGGTGCTATACTTGAGGAAGCGCTGCGAACGAGGTCAAGTTTGGCAGCGGGAACTCCCATTTTGGAGAAGATAAAGTCAAGCCCATCGACACATGCAGCAAGACGAGAAGACACCCCCGGTGCAGATGCAACAGAGACAACTCCGGGGCCACCAGCTGGTCAACCCACCGGCCGGAACACAGCTCCGCTGCGGCCTGTCATTAGTGCCGCAGAACTTGCCTTCCCAATGCGTGTATTCAGTATTCCTGCTGAACTACACACAGCCTTGCCTGTAATTTCACAAACCAATCGAGTCCTCTGGGACCAAGACTTGGTATCTCGCCTCTCAAGTCTCTTCAACGTCAATGTCCTTCGACCAACCAGCACGGCTATCTCCTTACCTGCTGACGCAGTCATTGAAGGAGCAATTGTCGAAGGGACCGATGGAAGCGCACCAGTCATAGCTGCCTTCACCACCCATACCGGACGAGTCATCACCAGCTTCGGACCAGGCCAGGATATCGAGTCCATCAGCTTCCGCGACGTTGCGGTAATCAGTGTGCAAGGAAGCCACCCTGACCGAGACTACAATAGCATCGATGTCACACTGAGCGTCAATCGTGGTGGCATTACGGTCCCGGTGAAACTACCGTCTGTAGTCGTACCGCGGGGTGCCGTCCGGACGACAATTGTCAATGTTCGTGCTTCAGGTGTTGGGACAGAAGTAACAAAGCATCTCATGGCAAATCGCATGTACTACGGACAAGTACTATTCCGCTCACTGGACGCGACAGACTTGGCATTTTTGCTTTCGGGGTATTCGTATAACCTCAATGGAAAGCAAGTGCCAATCATTGAAATTATCAACCCGCGGCCGGTCCGATATGTCGGGAATTATGTCGCCTTTACGACGAATATCCAGCCGGGAAAGAAGGATACAGAAAAGGGCCAACCTGATAACGTACCGGAGCAACCTCATTCCCCTGATGAGTCTCCCAATATTGAGTCTGTTGATGGCTTGCACAGCGACGACTCGGAGCACAATGAATCCACGGAGCCCTCGGAGACCGCAGATAATAAGCCCAGTCACTCTGAAGAGGTTGAAGCTGAACGCAAAGCCGATATTCCCGGCCTTTCAACAGTAGGACCGGACCCTGATCCCCAGTGGATAGAATTTTTGGAGACTCACAATATCCAAGTTGGACAGTCAACAAATGATATAGTCCCACTCGGCACAGGAGGGGTGTTTGCCGAGGCTGTTTTGGGTCGGTCAAACTGTGCTGAGAAGCTCGACATCACGAGATTCTGGAATTGGAAGGTACGTTAGGCAAGGAATCCAAAAAATTGAAGGTATACCGGCTAACAAGCAACAAGGATTCCCAAATTCCTCTAACGGCAACGGAGATCGCAGCCGTTCAGACTAACTCTCGCGCATCCCAACCCGACCTCAAACCGGGCGAGTTGTCTACTTCTCTAATCAGTCAACAAGCACCATCATCTCTCCCAGACCCAGCGGGCACTGCAGCCCTCCTAACGGCATTGCAAAATGGAGCTATGTTCCGTGACCAGAGCGGTCTGGCTGCCACGATTGGTCTGACTCAGGCAGCGCTGCAGGCAACCCAGTCAGGAGCAGCGAGTGCAGGCCAAGCAGCAAGTCAGAATCTGCAATCTCAGCTCCAAGCGACCACAGAGCGACAGAAGACGGCTGCAAATATGATTACAGATCTTGCTAGAACTGCTGCTTCTGCCTACACTGGTATACCGCCCCCGGCATCCGCCTCGTCCAACGGCGGACCATCAGCAAACTCCAGTAAAGGTGCTTTGATCAATTATTTCGATAAGACAAAAGAAGGCTCTCCAGGTGCTACGGAGAATAAGCCCGCCGCGGGACCACAGCCTGCCCCTGCCCCTGCCCCTGCTCCTGCTCCTGGTGGCCCTAGTCCCTCTGGCGCTGGTCCCGGCGCGGCTGGACACTCCCCTCCTAGTAGTGGAAGTGGCCCTGGCCCAAGTGCAGCAGGCTTTTCACAAAATCCAGCAGCGCGAAGCGCCATTGGCAGGGACACCACACTTTCGGATGTCATCTCTAAGGCGACAGACATGGCAGACAGAATAGCTGGAACCAGTACCATCTTGCAAGAAGAAGATAGTAGTGGACTGCTCACAACCCGGCGCGCATGGCCAAGACTGGATCCGGACGAGGTACTACCGCGAATCAGCAAGCTCAGCGAAAGTCCTGGTGATTTCAACCAGGGCACAGTACCCCTATGCACACCTGGGATGTTCTTCTACCACATTTTTAAACTCAAGCCGACCGAGACAGCGCAATTTGCCAAAGACTTGTACGGACTTGGACAGGCGACGTTGGGAGCGCTTCGCGTGCGGCCAAGCGATGACTTACGCAGAACAAACTATGTGGATATTGTTTCGAGGAACGTAGCGCTCGAGCTGGTTCCGCCGGAGACAGACTGGATGATGATGTGTAGTCTTCGCGACAGCCGGGATTGGTTTATCGACTATGAAGGTGCATCGGACGGGTCTGGAACCGTGGCTCTGGACACGGCAGCATCTGAGTTGGAGACCTGGTATAATGCAACGGGGTTCTTCACGAATGTTACTTGGAATCCGTACTATGAGGCGGGCCCGTCTATTGACACTCTGCGAAATTTGGATGTGTCGTCTACCAAGAGTGTTGCTCTGTTGGTTGATTCAAAAGTACTGGGAAGCGGCGACGTGAAGGGTACGACGCATATCATTGGCCTTACCAGTAAGCCTCAAATTAATGCGACAGACAATTCGATCAAGTTCGAGTACTGGACCTGGGGAAAGCCGGCAAGAGTGATGGACGGTAAATTGGATTTAATCCAGGGGAGTATCAAGGGTGTTTTTGTTGCCACTGTTTGAGGGATGTCAAAAGTCGCATTCGTACCTTGTGATGTTCGCGCAGCAAGCATAACCTATATTCGTATCAGCGCCTTCTCAGCCTTCAGCTCTGCCGTTGAAGTCGCCGTATCAAATGCTACGCGAGCCCTGGATAAACCGGACGTCCCGCTTCTTATCAGTTCGATCAAAGTCGCAATAAATATCGTCCTTGATCTCCTTCTTATATCTACGCTTCATGTCGGCAACCGGAATCCACTCTATCTCTGGCTAGTGAGCGGTGTCGTTTCCATGTCAGCGGACTATATGACGGCGTAGGGCGTGTTTAGCATGATTTGATGGGGTTTAATTATGGTACCCGTTCAGGCAGCCGAGGCTACGACGCTTAAGTTTATGGGACATGCCTGGGGCCTGCTCAAGCAGAGACCCTACCTCCCAAGATAGTCGTGGAGTAGTTTGTGCAGTATGATCTATCTCCGTCCCACATAGTTATGGGGCGCTCATGTCTGTAGTGGTCGTACGGCCAGTCCCTTTCTCCGCCGCTACAATTCTCGCGATCGAGATTCTCTTGCTAATCTTCATGTCTCTATACGGATGTGAGTCTCTCGCGTTGTGGCTTAGCAACTCTGCACATGTCTGGAACATTGTCGGTCACTTGTGGCGCATTATAGATTGGTGCGTCCGTCTTTTTTCCCTTTACTTACGGATTATTGAACTTCTAATGTTGTTGAGTAGGTGCTATATTCTTTACGGCTTATCAATTCAATTTGTCGCAATACTTCTTGCAACTTGTATATCATGGTATCTTGCGCAGTCCTTGATCTCCAACATGCTCTATGTGCTTCCGTGGGCTATCGTGTGTCAGGTCGTTCATCTCAACCCGGAAAATGCGTGGACATACCACAGCCTGGTATTTGGGGGTAGCCTAGTGTTCTCCTTTGTCGAGATCTTGGTCGTCGTTTCATTTTGGGCGTGGGGGCTACTTAAGGGGAAGTTAAGGCTCGATGCAGTTTGATCCCCCGCTTCACACAGAAGGGAGAGAGGGCTATCGTACCAGCTTTTTTTGGAGGGCAGTGGAACAGGCCTGTTAAGCTTACCTGCTAATCGTAGGTTGTATGCTTCATCGAGCCTGCGGCTTCTAGCCATCGTCGATAATGAAGCCATCTCCTGCCTTGCTAATGCTTGATATGGCATAGGGTGGTCCCTTGAGATGATGGAGACGGGCCGATAAGATCCCCATCTGTCGCGTCAACCCCCACTGGCCACCTCAAGGAAAATGTACCTTTGAGGTGCGAACCCCATAGAACACGGTGCGCGCTACAACTTATCGAGTGACAAATATCCGACAGACCCAAATGCTCGTCTCTATTCTAGGAATTTGTGCCTCTGAAAGCTAACATGATGCCGTCTTCACAGCCTCTCCTACAAGCTTGCCATATAAATTAAAGTAACCATCATGAGAAGACTATCATACAAGCCACTACATAATTACGTATTACCGGAATCCGTACTCTGCCCCTGCTCGATGAATTTCAAGAGCCGCGGGGTTGTATTCTCATCAAGGAGTTCGAGATAACGCTCTGTGTAGGTCCTGTCAGCGTGCAACCAACGACACCACGGAGCTTCTTGCTCAACTTACCACAACATAGCCACCTCTCGCTGACTGTGCGTAGAAATCCTCTAAAGATCCGCAACATCCTCAGATTGTCTTGACATGTATTCTCAACCAACAGCCTTTGCGTCACGAGTGCCGCGGCGCGATAGACCATGAGCATGGTAAACGGGGAAAGACGGTCAAAGTCTGCTATTGTGGTGCCGTTGACAAAGGGATCCAGTGTGGCGGCTAACGTCGCCAGAAGGTCGTTCAGAGACATCGTACCGATGGTATTACACGTCGTAATGATTTCATCAATGAAGGTGAGTTTACTGGCATTTTCGTATGCGAGAAAGAGTCCACTATACTGGTGTCAGATTGCGACAGACAAGCGCGTGCCTTGCCACTGGGAGGAATCTGCGAGACAAGAGGGAAAAGATTGACTCACGTATTGCAGAGACTCAATGCACCGGAATATACCTCGTCCGTATACCCAATGTCCTTGGTGACTATTGCCTGGAGATTGCTGGCGGTCTCCAGTAGTAGCATTATGTGTTGTGCGTCGGCAGCGCTATCTCCGGTAGGGTTGTTGAGCGCAGTATGCATTTTATCCAGGATATCAGCGGCCCCATAGAGCCTCGAGACTTTATAGAAGGCACTGGTGTGATCCTCATCGTAGAGACTGGGACAGATTAGTTTTCTAAGACCATCGTGGATGTCGGGGGTGACTGAGTCGGTAAGCGAAAATCGCGAGCCGGATTCGATTGCTATGTATCTGCGAGGGTCAGCGGAGGATAGTTCAAAGTCCTTCATGGTTGGATGACTGACCTGTCAAGTGTATAGATGCCACACCAGATAAAGGCCACTTCTGGTGTCGGTGTTCCATTATTTAAAGGGTCTGGCGATGATAGATATCTAGAATGAATGTTGAGTGCATCGGTGGCTCTGGCTGTGGCTCCGACGGAGATGTAAGCCGCTGGGTATAGCCCATGTACGACTTCGAACAACGTTATCAGCATTCTCGCTTGGACAAGCTCGAGGGAGTGGATTCCGAGTCCCTCGATTAATGATGTCCAGCTCTTTGCCAATAAATACAACGACTTGCATTTGCTCCCTTCGGAGAGTGGCGGTCTGGTATCCAGCATCACGATGCAGAAAGATAGCATCGCAAAGCTGAGGGAGGCATCATGCCATGACGATGGGAGCTGGCTTTGTGCCAAGTGAAAGAGGAAAGGAAACCAAGGATTGATTGATCGGATGTATCGGGCAAGAACGCTGTCCGGCGTGGCAGAATCGAGCCTTTCGATGATGGCATGTTTGATTTGCGCCGGTGTCAACGGCTCCCAGCCGAAAGGTGTTGTCTCAGAAGCAGGTGATGGTGTGATTTCCGGGGTGTTGAGCTCCACTGTATCATACGTGCATGATTTGTGGAGTCTGAGAGTGTATTAGCACAGATGCTGCGATACCTTGGGGGGGTACGTGGATATCACCACCTCTGGCAGAGTCCGCACTCTGGAAGAGCCCTATCGCATCGCCTTTTTTGGCGCCGACATCGGGTACACGCTTTCTTCGCGATGCTTCCACGATCAAACGAGCTCATTCTAATTTTCTCTGCTCGAATCACGGCACAAATGCCAGGTATCGCGCGATAGAGAGGTGTAGAAGAGAGCGTCCGCTGCGTGCGGAGGCCAGCGGAAGAGGCGAGGGGGAGTGCGGAGATGCGGAGAGCGGTGCGGACTTTTCTTGCGGAAGTCCGCATCGGGGATCCGCAGGCCATGCCGACAACCACTTTTGCCCGAGATGATAGAAAGGCATAAATAGAGGCTGTTTCCTGGTCAAATGTGACTCTTCTGTACCATCAATTCTTTCTCACGTATCAAATCTATCTAATTGTCAAAGCTCTCTCTCCAAGCACAATGCCGGAAATCAAAACCGTCGCGATAGCCGGAGTAAGAAATCCCGACCAAACACAACAAGTGTATAGGGTACTAACGCCTTCCTAGGCATCAGGTACTCTCGGGCCTCATGTTCTCAAAGCACTCTTCGATGCCGGTTTTGATGTCACTGTACTCGCACGTGCGAAGAAATCCTATGATTCGAACGTCAAAGTCCTCGAAGTCGACTATACCTCCCACCGCTCCTTAACCGCTGCGCTCCAAGGTATCGATGCCGTCGTCTCAACCGTCAGCGCCGAAGCAATCGAGGGCCAAACTACTTTGATTGATGCCGCCATTACGGCCGGGGTGAAGCGCTTCATTCCGTCTGATTTTGGCACGGTTACCACCAACCCCAAAGTCGAGGGTTATCCGTTGTATAGTTCCATGGCCAAGATCCAGAAGTATCTCCGGGAAAAGAGCGCGGGCGGCGATATCACTTGGACGGTCCTCGGATGCGGCGCCTTTTTGGACTTCCTCTTGACCACTTCGGTTTTCCTGGACTTTGCGAAGCACACTGTCACTCTGCTGGACGATGGCGATAACAGGCTCAGCACAACCTCATTGTCAACGGTTGGAAAGGCCGTGGCTGCAATCTTGACGAACTTCGAGGCTACAAAGAATAGGGCTGTTTTCACGTCCGAGGCAATCGTGACTCAGAATGAGTGGTTGAGATATGCAAAGGAACTCAAGCCTGGAACTGAGTGGGATGTGACCAAGGAGCAAACAAGTGCGGTTTTGGCAGAAAGCCTGGAGCAGCTTGCTGCGGGTGACCATACCATGCCAGTTATCTTGAAGCTCCTTAGAGGGACTGCTCTGGCTGGCGACGCCTACGGCGGCGCGTATGACGTGAATGACAATGAGTTACTGGGGGTGAAGGAGTTGACTTCCGACCAGATCAAGAAATTGATTGTTGAGAAGATCTAGGAGGACTATTGAAGATTTAGGTGATAGCTAGGCTGAATCCATACATGTTTCTAGAGGGAAAAAAGCTTGAGTACTACTCAGGACCTAGCAAGAGACCGTGCGTACCCATGCTCCAACTCCTTCAACATACCCCCGACATCAAAGTACCAGATCTTGTGCGACCTGCGGGTGATTTCTTCATGGCCTTCGGTCATATCCTGGCCACAGGCCGGATCGATCCACTCGTAAATGACGCATGCTTCGCGACGACTACGAACAAGCCAATGAGATCGCTCATATCGCACGCACATCACTGAAGACGGAGAAGGCTGTCTCTAGCAGAGCCCATCGATCGCTCCGGCCGTGAGCTATGCGGTCCTTCTGAATCCGGTCCAAGAGTTCACATAGAGCGAGGGCATCTTCAATCCCGATCCCTGCACCTGCACCATGGTGCGGAGAAGAAGCGTGGGCAGCATCACCCGTGATACAGATTCTCTCACGGGAATAGGAAGGGGCCCGATGGTCCATCGCATCGAACACGGCCCATTTGTCCAATTCCGACGTCAAAAGGTCGATGATCGACCTCACTGTCGGGCTCCAGTCTGAAAACACGACCGCAACTTCGTCCTTTGTCGTAGGCTCCGACATTGGCTGTCCGAGCGGCCAGTCTGTAGGATCAATGACAAACGCAACGATATTGAGCAGTTTTTGCTTCGCGACGGGGAAATGGAGAACGTGCGCCTTCGGGCCACCATACTGTGCTGATTGCAAGTCGGTATCAATGAAGCGGCGTTAACTTGATTTGTATCGAACGACATAGTTATTATTTTCACATGATTATGTCCATAGTACAGATTGCCCTTGGGGGGAGCATGACTCCAATCCCGGCTCAAATCCTTGGAAATATCTTCTACTCCTGCAAGCGCCAACTCTTCCATCAACTCATCCACAACTGCTTAGCAATCTTCTCCCCCTTCGGCGTATTCAAAACAGGTGCATACCTAAGAAGCCAACCATGCACAGTCAACTTGCGCAGCAATCTGCCCACCCTCGCTATCTGAGATTCCGTGCACCTTTATGTGGCCGATCTCTGGTACTACGTCTCCTTCACCGCCTAAACTACCATCATTGTTGCCTGTTGTAGCTCACACGCAGCAATTCACTCCTGCACTCGTTCTACATCTAAACCATAAACCTTAATATCAATCAATATCACTTCCATCTCATACATCTCATGCAGAACAAAACACCCCACACCCAAGAACACGCCAAACCACCACTTCCTCCTCCTCCACCCCCAGAACCATTTCTAACCAGAAAACCCCCACCCACCCCACTACTCCCCTTCAGCCAGAACAACAAACCACCCCACCCCCCACCCACCTTCCCAATCTACTACTTCTTCTACGGAACCCTAACCTCCCCAACCCAAGCTGCACGAATCCTCGACCTACCCGAGGAGCCAGCCCTCCGCAAAGCAGAAGTAACAGGCTACACCATTGCGGAATGGGGCGATTATCCTGCCCTTATCAATGGGAACGGAGGACAAGTGGTATTGGGGTCTGCGTACCTCGTTAAATCCGAGGAAGAGGCAGAGAAACTAGCACGTTATGAGACGAATGCGTATGAAGTTGTGAATTGTTTGATCTTTTTCAAGGATGGGGAGCAGCCGGACGAGGCTGAGGGGAAGGTGTTTGTGTATGCGGGGGATGCGCAGGCGCTGGTTGAGAGGCGGTTTGATCGGATGCTTTGGGGGAGGCAGATGGGTGGGAGGGTAGGGTTATGATTTGATAGTCTTCGTTTGGTTGGAGGTATGGATTCGCTCTCGCTGCTTGTCTCTTAAACAATACTTATCCACTATGCACCTGTCCAAACATACATCTACAGCAAAACCATCCCCAACCCCGCCACAACACCCGTAACAACATACACACCCACCTGCCACGCCCCAACACGAACCATCATCACACTTCCCCTTCCCAAACCCGCACTCCCTACCGACCCAACAGCACTCACGCCCGCCGTTCCACTCGCCGCCGCTGTCGCCGACGGCTTACTCGTAACCGTCCCCGTCCCCTCCGTCCCAGCCTCCTTCATCAACGCGCTACACGTCCCCGTCGCCTTCACCGTAGCAGTCGTGGTCGCAGAGCCCCCAAACCCACACGCATTCGCCTTCTTCCCCTGCTCCGTCCAATACTTATCGAGAACGAAGTTCAATTGCTCCTTCGCGCCGCACATGCTATACGCGCCATACTTACCCGTAGTACCGTTATGCAAGATGCCATCGCAGGAGGTCATTCCGCACACGGTGCTGAATAGGTCTGCGTAGTCACTGGACGAGACGGAGTCTTTGACCACGCATCCGGAGGCGTTGTCCATGCAGGTGCAGAGTTGGTCGTTGGGGGTAGGGGGGAGTGGGGAGGAGGTCGCGAGCCAGGAGTTAGAGGATACAGCTGGGCAGGATTCTAGGGCGGTGTTGGTGGGGGTGTAGGATGCTTTGTTTGTGCCGGTGGGTGTGGCGCTGGCCATTTGGGAGGAGTAGTAGGTGAAGTCGGCGAGTTTGGAGACGCTGGTGCTGTCGATGGCGGAGACGAGGCCTATTCATGTGATTAGTTGATGGTGCTTCAGTTGTTGTAGTGAAGCAGGGCAATAGAGGGTGTTGGGATTACCGTAATCGTTATCCGTCTGGAAATACATATACACAATGCCCCCGGACCAGACATCATTCATCTTCTCCCCAAAGAGCGTCTCGATCTCTGTGAACTTCCTCGGCTGGACCTCATTACATCCATACTCGGAGAAGAACACCGGCACGGAGTAATTCCTAAACTCTTCCGTCCGCTTATCAAACCCTGACTTAGTATAACTCGACTCCCCGCACCAGGAGTAGATGTTATATCCCCAGAAATCAATACTCTCGTCCTCACTCCCACAGTTGAAGTAATCTGCCATGTTGTCCCTAATGTCGGAGTCATCGTTAGTCGCATACCCGACACCAATGGACCGATACCCCTGGCTCTTGATGTAGGCTTTGGTATCCCGGACGGCGGCTTTGACGAAGGCGCTGGCGTCCGTGGTAGCAACGTCATTGGAGACTTCGTTGCCGGCGAAGAAGCCCAATGTGTTGTTGTATTGGATGAGCTCGTCGATGACGTTCGTGTACCGCGTGTAGAGGCTGGTTTCCCAGGCCGGGTCGGAGCGGTCGATGGATTGGGTTGGGTTGGAGAGATCTGAGATCACGTAGATGCCGGCGGCGGCGAGCAGGTTCATGCATGTGCTATGGTCTTTGGTGGGGTCAATGGCGTAGACGCGGATTACGTTGGTGTTGAGTTCTTGCAGGATGGGGACGTCGCGTTTGCAGAGGGTGGGGTTGGCGAGCGGGTCGGTGTAGCTGGAGGATGAGTTGCCGGTGTAGTCCTCTGAGAAAATATATTAGATGGTGTGGTTGGGGTGATGGTTAGGGGACGTGCCTTGGTAGGCGACACCGCGGATGTAGCTGGTATGGTTAGTTTGATTGACTGGGTTGTATGGGGGTTGGGAGAGTACAATTGGGTGTTGTTGCTGCTGTAGAAGAATTTGGAACCCTCCAATGTCGTTAGCCAGAGTGTTAAACATGCCAGCTGAACTGGTTTACCTTGATGACGATGGGATCAATGTCCACTGCAAGAGCAGAGCCCATCAGGGCTGCTCCAACAGCCAGAGACAGTTTCATGGTAAGGAACAAACAAAATGGATGTATAAAAGAGCGACTAGTATCAAAAGAGTGACTATAATGACGGAGCTCCAAACTCAAACACCCCCGGGATTTCACCAGACATTTAAACAGCAGCCAATTCTTCTCCTCTGTCCACCCACGACTCAATCACCCTGTAACCGACGCCCCTGCCATGACCTTTGCGACACGCCAAGATCAAGCCAAGTATAGCTGCCTGAAAAGTCCAATATTAAGCCAAGCAAACAAGACCTATACGGTGAGTAGGAGTGGCCATTGGGTGGGACGTTATCCCAAAACATGGTGTAGTGTCGGATAGCGTCTTGGTGAAGTGGATGCTTATCTCCGGATAGAGGCAAGCAGTGGGTCGGAGTCGAGGACCGGATAAACTATATGTACGGCCAAGACCTCGCCTGGCTGGTCGGTCAGAGAATATGAGCGTGCCAAGAGTGGCGGAAGCTGCGAGGCTGTTGTTCATTTGTCCGGAAGCGAGAAGAGTCTTGGAAAGAGGTCGATGCAGTCAAGTAGTTGTCGATCAGTGCGAACTGTAGTTAGGTTTCATTGCGAACATCGCATGAAGAGTATGTGATAAGATAGCAGGTAATATTCCAGAAGCATACCCAGTAAAGTAATATACACGCTCAATCAAACCAAATCATATCCATGTCCATATCCATACGTCGTCCAGCGCCGAACCCAAACATAATGACAAGAATCAAACATCATTCGCAGTATTTTCACACGCCATGTGTGATCTCACATGGCCTCACGACGACGTCGCTCGATGGCTGCCTCGAACGATCGAATGGTGTCCAGCGGCCGCTCGAATCGGTAACGGGTAGGGTTGGACAAGTCGGGTTCAGCTGTGCAGACATCAAGTTAGCCACAATTCTTTTTCTCTCCCAACCGATGAGATTATATTGTGGTAGATACATACTGATGACTTTGCCCTCGCGATCGCGATGCTGCATTGAGCGCAGAGAGAATCCACTCGATCCAACGCTGTACACTATTCACCACATTAGCAAGAGATCAGACCAGCCACTACTCTATTTACATACCAGCCTCTTCACCTCTCAACGCCTGGTTCGGGTCCGACTTGCTGGACAAGGAACTCTTGCCAGCCGAGTGACCCGTCTCGGGCCGGTCAGGGTTAACCGGGGGAGCAGGAGGAGCAGCAGCAGCAGACATTGTGATGTGATAGGATGGGAATGAGTTTTTTTCTCGTGTTGGTAGATGGCTAAGATCTTGGCCAGAGAAGAAGGAACCACGGATAAGATATAAGAAAGAATCTAGGTAGAGATGACAGATGGAAAAGGTGGAGTGAGTCGGATGAGGTGGGAAGACACATGCCAGACGGGGCCTATAAATGAAAGAAGCAGCCCGGCTGCATAAAAATGGTCAGCATGGGCGACTGATTTTGGAAGCTGACCTGCAGCATCACGCAAGACCGGCCAATGATGGGCATGATGTTGCGAGCCTTGTTGCCTTTCCAGCCGGGTCTGTGACGCGGCCGCCCGGGCTGGGATGGAAGGATGAGCGGAGGGGGGGGGCAATGGAAGCAGGTCCGTGACGTTAGCAGGCCCCCACCCTCCTCTGAGGTAATCGACAGATGTTATTGGTTCAATAGCCTGCCAAGCTTCCACTACTGCACAAAACCCAAGGCTTATCCGGGGTTTCAGCCAATAGAAGTGCCTAATCTCCTGGCCGCAAAAAAGATGGGCCGCGCAATCACGGGGGCTGAGGCCGTGGCAATTGCTATTCTAGGCAGCCAGATTTGCATCCGCGATTGGCTCCAACGTTGCTGTTCCTGGCAGGTCTGATGGTTGATGACGCTTTGAGTCCGCACATCATCAGGGGCCGCCCCAAATTCTGTCAGGGTCTCCCTCGATCCGGCATGCCCGTGCCTGATGCAGTGTTTCATCCTCTGGAATGTACGCAAAAGTCGTGTTGCCGTCGCCAAGCCCGCAGGTCTAGAACCACGACTCGGTCGGAATAGGGTCGATCTGTACGTAGTAATGAATCACGGTAGGTATGAGATGCTCTGTCAGTGAGTTGTCTCTCTCCACTACACCCCAACCGCTCTTGGCGGCCCATCATTGCCGGATGACACTAACACACGGCACATCGCCTGGAATTACTCATAGCCACCTTGTCATGGTGACATCTGAAACACGGTCGCGCCTGTTGATCCGCGAGTCCCGCCAAGCGATCACCTCGGCTCGTGAACGACGGGGGCCCCGAGGATCAGGGGCTCGCCGCGTTATGGCCCGTGTTGGCTGTGTCGTAACGGTTCCTGGCTGAGACGCGGTTTCACCGAGTGAAAATAGACAAAGTTACTCAAAAATCAGGCGGCGAATCGATATCGCGGGCATTGTTAAGTGTTGCTTCGATCGCCGTCGCTCAACTCGATCGCCATTTTAGTGTGATTGATATGTCTAAGAGCAGCTCAGCCATGCATGATAAATGTAGAACATGCTTCTGCTCAACAATCAGGATATAGAAACTTCCGCCCGAGCATTGATGATAGGCAGCACACCGTGCTGTGAAAATCCCATCGGATAAATATTCAGAGGGATCAATGGGGCTGTCTCAGAGGAGGGAAATAAAACTTCCGAGGCACAATTATGCAGGATGTCGGTTCCTCGCATTCCCGGTGTGCTTTTTTCTGCATGAGCATTAAGCATTGCTAGTTTTCGGCCCCATAGGGATGAAACTTGATATTACATACTACCAACTCTCTACTCATGGAGTGTTAAATGTCAACGTCAGCTGCGCGTTCTTCCAGCTTCCAGAAAGGTGGGTCAGAGTTGAAGTCTTCGGATTTAAGCGTCCTCTTCCAATGATCAACGGGATTGACTTCCACAAGGAGCAATTGTGTAATTCAATCTGCAGCAATAGCTTCCTGACGTGCGATGGCACGAGGTTGACACTTCCGCTGTGGTACGTAAGCTGCTCCGTCAGCCTTGTTCAATAGCAAACACACTGGGGTGGGGTGGAGTGAGCTCAGTGATTGTCTGCTGAATCGTCTGATGAACCACGGAAACATACAGAGTTTATTCTACTCTGGCTGTGCCTGTTCTGCTTTCACATGGTAGGTGTGGTTCATCTTTGGATAACCTTTAAGCTTACATTGAGCCATGATTTCTGCTGTTCCTAGAATGGGACCTGATTTGTAACCCCGGTACGATTTCGACAGGGATTATCCAGATCTTATGAATTATAAAGCATTTACAGGTTTACATCTTGCCAACGCGATCGAAGTCCTACATTGGTGGGTGGAATTCCCCTCTCGTCATATTTTGTGGATATACGTATGCCTGCTGGCCCCCAAGCACCAACAATGCCAGTCTTTGAAGCTTGTACTAGTATTACAGAAGTATAGTTGTGCAGGATACTACCGTCAACTGTCTCTCATCATTCAATTGGCACCTAATTATAGACTGACTACTACCTCCTAATCATTATCCAAATGGAGCTGGACTCCCAAACATAGTCGACAAATGTCTCAATATTCTGGCGTGCTTTGAATCAGATTCTCTAGCTAGAAATAAGCGTCACGAGCTGAAGCCCCAGACTGCTCCAATTGAAAGTAATGCGCACAATTTCTGCCTCAGTTGTCAGAATCCGCTCCTGGTGCGCTGCAGGAGTGATTTTTTTGAAATCCAAAACCGCTTGTCTATCCGGTCAAAGACTAGGATCCTGAGCTGACACACTCAGAACGCGCATCTCTTATAAGCTTAGGTAGATGTGAGATCAGATGCTCACATCGGCCATGTGAAGTACGAATATATGTGTCACGAGTATGTTTTCCGCTCTTGAGAGCCATCAAAGGAAGCCGAAAGCGCATCTACAACAATGTGGATTCGCATGCTATTTGCACCTGAGAGCTACCTCCCAAAAATTGATAATGTCGAGAAGCCGTAGAACGAAAATATATTTTCATTGATAGATGTTTCAAGACATTCTCCCAGACTTCCTTGAAATGGACACACATTTACGGATGCGCAATTGAGTGAAACCGTCCAGGCATCAACATCACTTACAAGAGAACTTAGATATAAACAGTAAAATTACAACTCAGAGTAGTATGGATACACTAGTACTAGATGCTAGTAAGTGTAATTTCTGGAGATGAGCTGGTGCTCTGAATAATAGGCTTGGAAAACGCCAATGCTGCTAGTCCAGCCAAAGGGGTTCTCTACGCCTTTGGTTGCGAGCTTTGGGCACCATGGAGTGAGGAACTGGACATTGGAGGCACCAATGACGTTGCAGTTGATAAAGGCCTTCGATGGGTTATGGGGCCTCGATGGGGGAAATATATATTTTCCCGTTGGGTGGATCAAGAAACAGGCAACAATATTCTACATTCCACGATGGATAGAAAAGAGGAGTGCGACACATCTATCGTCTTTGTAAAATCATCGGCCAGTGCAAACTTTATCATATGTTGAAATCACTTGTCTCAGTATATATTGATGCACGCAGCTTGGTGAGGACAAATGTTGTGCGTACCTGAGCATATCCTCGACCGGCGATACCCATCTTTCAACATGGTTCTTGAATACATTTCCATGGCACTAAGCAATGGCCTTATTAAGGATAAGTGAATGGCAGCTATGAGACGCACGTTCTCAAAATACTGCGATAAGGTTTGGGACAAGTGGTAGAAGGCCACAAGACGGCGACTGTGATGTAGAAGATAGCTTGCAATGATTGACAATCAAATGTAACAATGTGACTCCGATTGTTCACGTGTAGTCATGTACACTCTGCATACATCCAAGAGACATCCCAACGAGCAAGCATAGTGGTTTTCACAAAGTTTCTCTAAAGATGCACCTTGCTTGTGAGCGATCTGGTTCTTCGCACAGAGGGACGGGAGCGATGACAGTCGTGAATCAAGATATGTTTTCAGTCTATACATGACGGGCAAGGTTCATTAAAAATACTCTGTTCATTTCCGACACTGCACATGTTCTTCCGGCTTTTCAGTGAAAGAATACTGATTCTTGCTGTGTACGTGCACACTGGAATCGAGCAACTCGTCCAACCATCCGCATCATACCAGTGTATTCTTTCTGAACTCAGTAATCAATCGCAGTTAGCATACTAATAATATCATTGAACATGTCTGCAATATCTCCAGAAACATCACTCGAAGTTCGTGATTGCTATTTCAGGATACATTATCAATGAGGTGCTATGTTAAGTCCCCATGCGCGGATTGAGAAGTAGTGATGGGTGAATTGTGGTCGATTGAGACGAAATTCCCTATAGCATGATAAAGATGATTTATCTTTCAGACAACTAGTACTGAGCTTGATTAATTGATATACATATTCGTGCGATATGTGCTCGGTAAGTGACTATATAAGTATCGATGTGTTTGTTGCTAACTATGCTTCGAGGGGCGACATGAAGTCTACAGCAAATCTATACCATAACAGTGAATAGTCAGAGGACATAGTTCAACCATGCTTATGTAGGTAGATCAGGATATCGATAGCTCTCTTAATTGACCCAGATCATGTATCTCTTCAAGGTTAAGGCTCTAAGATCGCCTCGCAGATATGCGTCGAGGAGTCCTGGGCGACAGCGAACTGCTAAGTGTGTTGTTTCTCGGAGAATATCCTACGATTAAGCATGTATAAAATATGTCTTGTGATGATTGTTGGTAAACATGCTCAGGATTGGTTATGTTTGAGAATAAAAAATTTATAACTAGACTACGGTTCATTGCAGCAAAGTACTAAATCTATGACTAAAGTCCGATACACATTTATCCAAGATGATATCAAGCACCACTGCACTCACCACACCCCATCAAGAACAAAAAAAAAGAAGATCCCAACCATCAGTTGTAAGTGGAAGACACTGCCCAGCCAAAAACCGGTGAACAGCACAACTAGACAGACTACTCTCCTACATCTCGTATTCAAACCAAGTTTACTGGACGCCAAGAGCTCACTATACCCCGCGCGGTACAGCAGACCAGTCCCATCCAGTCACCATCTCAACAGAAGCAGAGAAAAGAAGAGAAAAGTGAGACCGGAAGAAGTCCGCGCCCGCGGCATCTCGAATCCTGCGGGCTGCAGCCTCCATCACATAAGAGTGAGTCGTGTCGTGTCGAGTTAGTCTCGTGACTTGACCGGCAGATTTCTCTTTGGTCCGTGCCACACAGAACTAATGAAAGTACGTACTGCATTAATCTGCGAGATAATGAATCCTGTCTGTGGGATAAGCAGGTGCACGGACTGTTATGATTATTTTCAGTTTGATGCGTATGCTGCTGACAGTCGACGGTGCTAGATGATGTAGGTGTAATTGGTAGGAACTTTTGGTCCATCCAACAGAAGTTGAGGTATCCAACGGTAACTAGCAGCTATCCGAGGCTAGTTAACTTACTGTGGTGTTAACCTTCGACAGTCTGTTCAAAGTTCACTCATCACAAACTGTAGTTAGTTAACTAACTATCACGGGCTGTCTGTTAGTCACCCGCAGC